ACGTTCTAATTTCAATTTTTCAACTTTGAAAGCGTATTACAGCAATATGGATAAGAGCACAGAAATGTATCTATACTTTAGCAGATATTTGTAAAATTGCTCACTGCTACTAATATTCGCGCCTCCCCTTAGACTAGTGCACGCCTCCCCAGGGAGGCGCGCCTCACAGTTTGGAAAACGCTGATCTAAAATATACAGAGATTAAAATGAGCATAAATACATGTCTGTAGCTACCACAGCTTGGTCACAATTGTCAAACTTCGGTATTTGATCGTCTTCGAGAATGGCCTGTATTTTCGTACGCACTTACTCCTAGATGATTGTTGAACATGAGCGTTGATCTAAAATATACAGAGATTATAATGAGAGTAAATATAGCTATATATAAAGTCTTTTATTCACTTTGGTGCATGATCTGGATAACATTTAAATGTGTTTGTATTGCAAACTTTTACACTTTGAATAAATGTTTGAATTCAACATGTTAACATCCATCAATCAACTTTTGTTTCTCTCCAGAAAAGAACAGAGACTGCAGCTGACTATGTTAAAGTTGTTATTGTTTTAGGTGATCCTCCTACAAGCAGCCAGAGCTAAATTTCTTTAGTACTTTTTAAATGCATGTTGTGTTGCCTACATGGAATCAATAAAATAATGTAGAATATTTGAAGTTAATTGAAAATTAAATTAATAGTGTGTTTCTACATTGTTTAATTAAAGAGAGATAAAGCTCATTATGTAAGTTTTGATATTTACCTGCAATTGCTGTTAAATTATATATAAGAAGAAGAAGAAACTGGTGGCGTGACGTTTAAAAGTACGGTGCGGTCATCGAAGGTGAGGTTACTTCATTTGCGTCTAAATTTTGTTTTGTTTTCGAAAATCTCGTGAATATAAACAACAGCATCCGGATTCCTGATTAGTCGTTAGCAATGTCGAAGATATCGAAACGAGCCAGAGAGCTCAAAGTAAGTACACAGATTGAAGCTCCAATAACCCAAATTCCTTATGCTTCTCTCTTTTTCTTGGCATATTTTTTTTTTCTGCTCACCATACTTGTATATGACAATGAGTAATGTTATGCTCCATCTCTCTCTAGACCATGGGTAACCATGAAAGTTTTTTAAACCGAATCCAAAAAACTTTATACTATGGACGTTTACCAAATGCAGATTGCCTCAGTTTGCCTGTAACAGGTTTGCTATGCAATTAATTAGCAAACTATACTGTATCAAACTAACTGTCAAATTGGAATTCCTGTTGTAGAGCTGGCATCTGAACTCTTTTCCGAACCTCACACTGGCAGATCTTTGGACAGGCTCCATTGCAAAGATGCTGCTTACATATCAAGGCAGTCCTGTGTTTCACCATGCTCCTTCGTTTTGGCTGTACTGTACTTGGAACGTTTGAAATCTTGTAATCCTGAATATTTACAATGTGTTGCTCCATCTGAATTGTTCTTGGTCTCACTGGTAAGTAGCATTTTCTTAATATATTTTATTAAAATTAATTTTTAATTAAATTTCCCCAGATGGTCTCTACTAAATTCTTGCATGATTATGGTGATGACACTGAAATTTATTTGGATGAGTGGGCAGCTTCCGGTGGTATAACAGTCAAAGAACTGATAAGTTTAGAAAAGGATTTTTTAAATGCAATTGTAAGTTATTATTGGTAATATTCTATCATATTATTTGTTATTAATAATATTTTTTTTTAAATAGGAATGGGAGATATTTGTGAGTGATCAAACATTCTGGAGGAAGCTATCATCTATTGAAAGTATTATTGGAAGAAATGAAGGCAAAAACAGAGGCTTCTTTACTTACACGGAATTGAATAACCTATTGTCGGTGATAGATGCAGGAGCGTTGGTGCATTACTTGACTGCCGTTTTGGCAGTTCTTACTCTGACTTACGCAGCCGGATTACTCACAGTGATAAGCTCGATGCTTATTGTTAGCCACATGCCAGGAAACTGCTTGAGCCCGGTGAGCAGCGAAGTACCATCCAACCAACAAAGCTTCGAACAAGAACCAGAAACAGTATTCGAAAAAAAGCCAATAGACGCTGTAGATATTCTACAAACTGGAATAATACTTGCAAGCATAGCCGGTGCAAATTACGATTCGAACGAAACTGAGAATACAGAGAGCGTCGGTTGGGATTGGTGGAACAGCACGACCATGAATTGGCTTACCTCGACTTCCAAGATCATGGAAATTCCGATACCTGAATTCAAGGCGTACACTTACAACAATTACCTAGAGATGACCATCGACAAGAAGCTGCTGCTGCAAGATCAGTTGCATAAGGCTACCAGGATCCGTATGCAGGATCGTCTCGAGTCGTCCTGGCATACTGAATGGACCGATACAATTTTTACTCTGTTCTCTTACAGCCCAATGGCTTTCTTCCAGCAGATTAAAGAGTGATTTGATAAAGGCTGATCGTGTATCCTTTCTCTCGTACAGATTGGACGGATTATTATTGGATATATCAAATGGTAACATATTTTTCTAAAACACAGACACAATGCTTAGCTTTAACGAATTCATTAATAGAATTTATATTTATTTTTGGGGTACATATTCGATTTTTGCTAATTTTTCTAAATGATTATCGAAATAAAAAAACTTTCATGTAATGAAATTACTCTTCTTTTTAATTATTGAAACCCAAATCCTTTTCGTCTTTTGAAAGGTAGACAATCTTTAAAGGATTCGTTTAATTGTTACTGATTATTACAGTAAAATTAGATAAATTATAGGACAATATTATAAATAAATTTTATTAATAAAATTACTCTTTATATATATATATGTAAAGTTTCACAATTTCTATACAAATATACAATCAATATTGTAATAATATAATCTCTTTCCTTCACTATACAAATTTACATTCTTACATGTTAAAAAATCATTTGTATCTACAAATTTTACACGTTGCGACTTAAATACTAAATCGATAAAGCCTTTCAAATAGAGAGATACCAACGACGGCTGTGCATCATCATCAGACACAAGTGATAGAGAGACGAACGCAACAAACAGTTTTGTTCATGTTGTAATGCCGTATTAAATCCAAAATGTTACGTACACGAAGGTATAAAAACCCAATCAAGTCTTCTGCTCGTTCAAGGTAATACTAGTAATGTCCTTGACTATCATCTCGGCCACCTGCCATGCGAGTTCCTCTTTCTTCTTATCCTCCTCCAAGTTCACAAACTTCCTTACAACGTTCTTCAGCTTAGACTCACCCCGCTTGTCGGGCTCAGGCTCGAAATCCTTCACGAACTTCCCCATATCCGTAACCCTACCGAAAGACAATCGATGATATTTCTTTCGCTTCCATAGAGAATCGGGATCATACAGTTGTCGCGTGTCTATGTTCATATCGGTCTGCTTGTCGCGTTTCTTAAATTTATTGGGGTTCTCTAGGGCTAAAAAAGTGCTCGTAGTGCTGAAGCTCTTCTCGCTTCCGCACTCCGAGGATATGCTCTTCGTGCGACCGTAGATGCAATAGCCGACACTTTGCACCGTGTTTATCAACTCCGATAAGTACTTGTAGTAGAGCTGGGAGGCTAGGAAGGGTTTCAGATAATGCTTGTCTAGGACCTGCTCGATGATTTTCAGCGGTAAATGGAAGCAGTCATGCATCAAACCATTCTCTCCGCAAATGTTCTGCTCAACAGCGAACCTAATCTTATCGCCGAAGCCTAAAGGGCAGTGAGCCTGCAGCGAAAAGTACTTATCGTAAAGTATGACTGCATCATTCTGAGCCTCGATGGGATCGAAGAAGTCCTTCTGATCGTGCAGCTGCTGGTGGAAATTGCTCGCCGCCAACCAGAACTCCAGCAAAGACCGGTAACTTTCCTGCTCGAGGAATTCCATGAAGTAAAAGAGAGCCGTTTCATTGTAAAGTATATCCTCCAAAACGACGTTACCGCTCGTCAGAACATCTATTTGATACTTGCAGAAGTAATCGCTGCTCAAAAACGCCTCGAAATACTCCTTCTCCAAAATACCAAAAACGAAGCTTTGGATATCCTTGAAGCAATTGGAGGATATCAGTTTGTTGTCCGTGGAGCAGATGTTCTCCACGATTTGATTCCGTATATTATCGGGACAGTTCACCTTCTCCGGAGCCTCCAGGGCTATGTACTTCTTGAAGATCCTCAGCGCGTCGTCGGTGAACTCCTGCATGATCTTTCCGAGCTGGTGCTCCCGCTCATTTAGCTTAAGACTAGCCGTTTCAATATCACAATTATTCACTAAATCTACTCTACTTCTGTCGGTCTTCGCGTCGCTGAAGTCACAGATGCTCGTCGAGTCCGCAGTATAAGAGTCGCAATCCGTGCTCACCGATAAACTATCGTGCTCGATCTTTGTACTGAATGAAGACAGGTTGTTCATATCCTTGGCCGTATCTTCGTGCTGCTGGATAGCCGTTTGGAAATTTTCAATATCCAGCCAACATCGGATGAAATGCAGAGAATTCCTATTTTCCATGAACTGGATGAAATATCCTAAAGCAGATTTATCCACGAGCACATCGCTTAGGGTTTTCGAGAGCCGCGATTTATCCTTAGTTTCCAGCTCAGCTTAAAAATAGAAGCAAAACATATAAAGAAATATTTCTCAGTAATTCCCCGTTATTATAAGCAATAAACAACATGAAATGTTTTCGTTTATAAAATCCTTGCAAGAAATTTACATTCTCAATTCATTAATGACATTATTATACACCTCCAGTAAACAAACAGAATTTACTTCTCAATAATTGTGGGAAACAACTCTTACATTCAAATGAAAAATATACACTCTGTTAATAACATACACATTTTGTGTTATAAACTATAAAATAAACATCTAAATAAATTATAAATGAATCATTGTTGCTTGTAACGATCCAATAAACATCAAAAAGATGTTTTAGCTGTCTAGACCAAAATAACAAATATACATATTTTAATTTAATAATAAGTATTGTTCAAAATATCAGCAATAAAGAATAGTTATTAGTTCATTGAATTGTAACACAATTAAAACAAGCCTAGGTATTGTCATATGATTTACAATTGAAGTAACGATAAATAATTGCATTTTTATTACTCGATTGAACAGGCGTATCAAAAACATATTGATTATTAAGAATCTTGTAATTGCACATGGTCTATTGATTTACGTAGAAAATTTAGTACACGTCAAACATCTATTATCATCAGAAATATGAGTAGTCTTAGCCAATACAATGATGTAAACTTAATAACTTTGCGTAGTTGAAATTTTGTAATATTCTTAAAAGAAACAATAATATAAACAAATTTCCATGAATAAGCTTAATCCATATTTTCTATAATTAGAACGAAATTACCAAAATTGCAATTCCGATTACGTAATATATAAACGCAGATGACCTCAGCAAACTGACCTCTGAAACTATCTACGAATTCAGCTGCCAATTTGATATTTGAAAGGCATTAATATAATTTACAGTTAATAAAAGAAATAGTTATTTGTTTTAAACAATACCACGAATATGAATAATTATTTTGGTTCGATATTTATTTGTTTCGATTAATAAAACGAACCTGCTTAGAATTATTAGTTGAATGCACAAGTTATATGAATTATTTAGAACTGCACTCGTGCAAGGTAATAAAAAGAACTTTCTTGGAATGCGTCTTATAAAGTGACGAGTAACCACATCTATAAATTCTATTGTATATAAAAATGTAGGAGCACAAATTATTATTTTTTCTAGTTTAATGAAACCAATAAAATAATCTAAAGTATTGAATAACCATCAAAATACAAAAAAAAAAACCTAATACGTAATGGTTCCCACATAATAGTAATAATAGAGACTCAAATTCTTGTGTCAATGACCTTTCTATACTAATGACTAATAAATATCACTGTCTCTTTCTTCATGGAATTGTTAACTAATCATTAAATTACGCATTACTAATTAAATTTAATTAATTAAAAAAAAAATGTATTTGATTAATGTTCAATTTACAAGTATGAAATTATTTGTTCTTTAAAAAGGAAATAACTTGTATTTATTTGTAGAAAAGAGGTAAATAGAATAAGTATTGTGTAGGCGGGAATGCGACGGTCAAGGCTATTGATTGATACTCCTTTTTAGATATACTTTAGTCACGTAAATTCTGAATCACGTCGAATCGAAATAGTTGCTCATCATTCATAATAAATTTATTCTACTGCTAAAATTCAATTTTATAAAGAAAAGACTTGCAAAATAAAACGCTACAAGAGTGAAACAAGTTTTGGAAGAAATTACTTCCATTAGTACACATTCTTTCTTATCAAAGTCGCCTTGAATTTCGTTCTTTTGCGTTGTTTCAAATGTACAGCTTTGACAATAATGATTGTGATTATCATTGAATTGTTTTGTTTTATATACAATTTAAACTGATAATTTGGAGTGCTTACTGAGAGGAAAATTGCTTATCTGAACTTTTTACAGATAAATGATTTTGCACTTACTTAGGTCAAGCCCTTCATCCTCGAACACAGCCAATGGGCCAAACGGGCCCAAACTTTGGCACCTGCTTGGATCGTAGGGTTTCTCTGTGGGACTGGCTACATCGTACTCAGGGCTCTCTTTACTCCTGCGACCTGCAGATTCAGCGAAAATTACGTTTAGATAATGAAGAGTTTGATGGAGACTCACCTGGTTTTTTGAAGAAATTTAACATTTTACATTATACTTGGAAACCGAGCGGTCGTGCGAACATCACGGACGAGTCCTGTCCAGGAAGCAATACACATTAGCACGAATTGTTGCTGCTTTCTACAGTTGACATTTCCACAATAAACGGTCGTAAAGTGCGTGCATTCGTCCACCTCCAAACAAGGATGAAGGATAACGGTTCTTCGGTGTTCACTGCGTGAGCGAATAACGCTGATTAAGTATTTGTTAACACAGGTAGAGAGCAACGTGTGTTTTGCTGTTTTTAAGCGTAATATTTATTTATGCACCAGTCAAAAACACAATTTGACATTTGGAAAACTTGCTGGGAGAAATACTTTGAAGTTTAAAGTTTCAGTTTGTGTATTGGTAACGCCGATTAACTAACCAAACTTTTGACAGTGTTTGACAGTTAATGTCATATAGTTCAGAGTGTAAACAACGTGAGTATTATTTGTTTATTCATAGAGACTTTTGGATCTGCGGATAATTTGGGTAACAGGAGTGAGGGCTGTGTTGATAGTCCACCAAAAGTTTTGAAAAGCGTTCATCGGTAAGTTGCCTGGTACAACAAGTAGTAAATCTTTAATGCTTATCCACCAGAGTTCTTTTTTAATGTGCCTAATGGAATTTCAGTGTTTGCCATGGCTCACTCTGGCGTTGGACCTGCAGGGAAACGCAAGGAGATATATAAGTACATAGCGCCATGGCCTCTGTACAGTATGAATTGGTCAGTCAGACCCGACAAGAGGTTCAGGCTGGCTTTGGGGAGTTTCGTTGAAGAGTACAATAATAAAGTGCAGATTGTCTCTCTGGATGAGGATAACAGTGAGTTCACTGCTAAAAGTACATTTGATCATCCGTATCCCACCACCAAAATTATGTGGATACCAGATAGTAAAGGAGTCTTTCCAGATTTATTGGCAACTAGGTAAATATTAATTATTTGCAAACTGTTGTATTTATTTATTAATTTATTTTAGTGGTGATTATTTGCGGGTGTGGAGAGCCGGTGAACCAGATACACGTTTGGAATGCGTGCTGAACAATAATAAGAATTCTGATTTTTGTGCACCACTGACTAGTTTCGATTGGAACGAGGTTGATCCGAATTTAGTTGGTACATCGTCGATAGACACCACATGCACGATATGGGGTTTGGAGACTGGTCAGATTCTGGGTCGGGTTAATCTCGTTTCGGGACACGTGAAGACACAGCTGATTGCGCACGACAAGGAGGTTTATGACATAGCCTTCTCGAGGGCCGGAGGTGGTAGAGACATGTTCGCATCCGTTGGTGCTGATGGGTCTGTTAGAATGTTCGATTTGAGGCATTTAGAGCATTCGACGATCATCTACGAGGATCCAACGCACACGCCGCTTTTGAGGTTGGCTTGGAACAAACAGGATCCCAATTACCTAGCTACAATTGCTATGGATGCCTGCGAGGTAATTATACTGGACGTGAGGGTGCCTTGCACGCCGGTAGCGCGTTTGAACAATCACAGGGCTTGCGTCAATGGTATAGCCTGGGCCCCGCACTCCAGTTGTCATATTTGCACTGCGGGCGATGATCATCAGGCCCTCATATGGGACATTCAGCAGATGCCAAGAGCTATAGAGGATCCGATCTTGGCGTATACCGCTGCAGAGGGAGAGGTCAACCAGATCCAATGGGGCGCGACGCAACCCGATTGGATCGCAATTTGCTATAACAAGTCATTAGAAATCTTACGCGTTTAGGCCAGGAACGAGATCTGATTAGCTGCCAAACGCGAGTTAATGCGAACTCTCGCCACGGCAGTCGAGTTTAATTTATTTAGAACACGTATATAACAAAAATAATAATAATTATGAAAAAAAAAACAGGACAAACAAGTAATAACGATGAAGAAGACGAAACTTAATTTCTCTGCATTGATGAAATAATGATGCTGCCAATTTTTATGATATACAACACACACTTATATACATACATTTTTACCTACCTTATAATTATAATTTTTAATCACTCGGAGAGGATTTACTTGTCTTTTCGTTACGGGAATTTTATTAGTTTTTTTTTTCTTCTTCCGCGAAGTGGTGAATCCATGCAATTTTATACGAATTGATGAAGTAGCGTATATTTAAAAAAAAATAAATAAGAAATAATTACGATGAACGGATTAATTTCAATATTTTAAGAATGCAGATTTTTGTCAAATTTGCGTAACGAATCACTTGATGATATAATCGAATGGGGAACAATAGAAACCAAATGAAATTATTAAAATATTAATTCACACAAATGAAAGTGCGCTGATTCAGCCACGAATTTTAATTATATATCAAGTCGGAAACGACACATTTTTAATGTAACTGAACAAAAATAATATTTATACATAAAAAGTATATTTTTTCTATAAATATAAATTTACACGTATATAATAATTGTATCGCAATACAATTTATTTCAATCAAATACGTTTATTATTCCCTCACAGGTTTCGTTTCTCAAGCTTCTTGCGTCCTTTCAATATTGAAATTGATCATTTTTCATCATCGTCGTCACCTCATCATTAGGAAATATCAATCTTCCTGTAGTTAATTAAGGTTGATATCAATTATTTACACACGACTAATGTCTATCATTAGGCCAAATAGCAGGATCATAGTTGTATTTATTTATTTTTAATCGATTTGTCCCCCCCTTTCCCAAGTTTTTGTTTTGTTTTGATTCTTTCTCTCGTCCCTTTTTCTTTCCCTAGAGAAGATGACAAATTGAGTTTCCGTTTTGTTTTTTTTACTACGCGCAAACTACCTTCCTTACCTTTTTTTTTTATTTATTCCGAATTTTACCCAAATGTAACATTATTATATTATCGTACACTGAAGCAATCGTATGTATGTACATATGTTGTTTTCGCATTTCTTTTTATCCACATTTCTATTCTCGTTTTGTGATACATTTATAAGCTTTTTCATGTAAGCTGACTTAGTACATGACATACTTATTGTTCGTTTGGTTTTATTTTTTATTAGAGAAAGAAAACAAAAATCAATGTTTATTATTATTTTTTGATTTGTATAAATGAAATGAATGAAAAATAAAAACGATATTTATAATTGAAAAATACACGCTGTTTATATATTTTTCCTCCAATATACGATACAATTAAATTTCCTTTCAATACTTAATTTGTCTCCATAATTAAACATTTTACTGGAGCAACTAAAAATAAATTATTCCGAATCTCTCATATTATATTTGTACATATTAATGCCGCTTCCGCTTAGGACGTGGTTTCCTCTTATGCTACCGTTTCAGGAAGTGCGAATTCATGTCTCCTCCGGATCGCTGAATGGTATTCAGCTTCTCACGAATCCTACCCTCAACGGTCGTGTTATTATCGCTGCTCTTCACCAACTCCTTATGCATGAAATCTGGATCAAATTCCTTCACTTCGTCCTTCGCATCTTTCTCTCTATAAGCTTTGACTTTCTTCTCGCGCTCTTCATCTCTCCATGCCGCATTCTCCATCATTTCGCGCCTCAACTTCTCTTTCTCTTCCTCACTCAATTTCTTCTTCTTGACAGGTACCTCTTTCTGCACTTCTACCGCTTCCTCCTTTTTGGCAACCACCGATTTGTGACTGCTCGTACCTAAGGGAATCTTGGTACCATCGCATTTCACCAAACCCCAATTCTTAACTTTCGGAGTTTCCTCCTCGTCCGAATTAGATGGAGGGTAGTAATCGGGAGGTCGTTCAGGGCCCACAATCTTTTTAACATCTTTCGTTGGAGTGCAACGTTCAACGCTGTTACTGCGGTTTCTGCACTCCCTATACTTATCCAGCTTCTCCATGCTTCCGCTCCTCTGATTTCCTCCAGGATTTTCAATGTTTCTACTTTTTGATAGGCTTCTTGACTTTCTTTGATCGCTCCTAGATCGACGTCTTTCTCTCCTTACAGATTCATCGTATTTTCTCTCATAGCTTTTCTTTCTGTAGTCTTCATGATCTCTTTTTCTATCGTAACTCCTATTCCATTGCCCTCTTTCGTTTCTGTTTGACCTACCTCTATTATCGTTGTCGTAATTCCTTCTATCGCGACTCCTATTTCTCCTATCCGATTTATAAGCATCTTCATGCATCTGTTGATTATTTCTGTAGCCTCCTTTATCATCTCTAAATGGCTTTCGCCTTTCTGGACTATCGTTATTTCGGAACCTTTTTTGATTCCTGGAATTATCTCGTCCTTTCAACTCATCTCTACTTCTGCTTCTATTCCTTCTCTCAACTTTTTCCTTTTCAGCACTCAAAGATCTTTGCTTACGCTTATCCTCTTTTTTATTTTGATTATCTGTGTTCTTTTTACCTTTCTCACTCCGTTTCTTGGAATGTTTGCTTTTCTTCTCTTCTTCACTACTGCTACTACTGGAGTCGCTGGAGTTTTCACTACTGCTCTCTTCGCTGCTACTCTCCTTTTTCTTTCTACTCTTTTTAGACTTTTTCTTCGCGTCCTTACTCTTTGAACGTTTCTTATTCTTGCTCGACTTTCGTTTCTTCTTCTTAGGTTTGTCTTCCGAATCACTCGAATCCGAATCTTCGCTACTACTCTCGCGCTTCTTCCTTTTCTTCTTTTTCACAGCCTTCTTCTTCACCTCTTCCTCATCGGAACTGTCATCACTACTCTCGTATTTCTTCTTCTTAGGCTTCTTCTTTTTAGGCTTCTCTACCGCATCCCTACCTTGATTCCTCTTTCTGTTCTTAAACTTAGTGTACTCATCTTCAGATTCCACATACTCTTCCTCAACTGCACTATCAGAGTCTGTATCAGTGAAGTTCCCTTGCATAATGTCAGTCAAATCTTTCTCGCTCAATTTACTTTTCATAGCATTAAATTTATGCATGAGAATTATATCTAAATCCTTGTCCCTCTTACTCTTCTTATTTTGCCTGTCCATCCCAAGTGGATTATCTTGCAGATACTCCAGTTTCTCCTCCAATTCACGTTTACCTTTTTTCGACTTCTTCTGCTGCTTGCTCAGAGCCTTCTGTAGTTTTTTGAGTTGCACAGGATTCTGCAGGAAGTTTCTGCGAGTTTCTTCCTCCTTTTTCTGTATGGAAAGCAAAGGGTCTTCTTGTAATTTTGCTTGGAGATCAACCTGCTCTGCAAGCGCCTGCTGCAGCTTATAGTCCCGAATTGAAGGTGGGATGCACTCATGCTCGACATGATTCTTTGGTGGTACTATACCAAGTTGCTTCTGCTTCTCCTCAGCATTCAATTGTTCCAAAGATTTATCTACGTTCCGACCCAGTAGGTACTCTTCCCTGTCCACCATGGAATTGGCTCCTTTGTACATCCAGTCCAGCTTCTTCTCGTCATTCTGATCAAACATTTTGTTTACCTTCGTACAATTGAGGTTACGTTCAATCTCTCTTTGACAGTTTTAACCTAGAATGAGCGTTGTTCGTTAGTAACCCACAGCGGTGTTTCTTCAATACTCACCAACCAGTTCTTCAGTTTCAAAATGCGCTTACCCGGTTCTCTGTTGAATAAATGCAGTGCTAGGAACTCTTTCTATGTGACGACGCCTATTTATTATGTGAATGCCAGTAAGTATCTTTCTTTTCTAACCAAACTCACTTGTTTCAAAACGTCAACTTTCTTAGCACCGCATATAGGCCACCTGTACAGCTCGGTAATTGCAGACTGCGTTGGTAGATGGCACCAGCTTATACATTCAAATGGAAAATACAAATTTGCTACGGGCACAGATGAACATGGTACAAAAATCCAACAGGCTGCTGTAAATAATAAAACATCCGTAGATCAGTATTGCAACAGCATCTCCCAAAAGTATCGCAACCTTTCGGATCAATTCTCCGTAGGATACACCGATTTTATAAGGACTACAGATGAAAAACATCAGCAAGCTGTTAAACACTTTTGGGTAAAACTTTCAGTCTTCTATCTAATCGATTAAGAATTGAATGATTATGAATTATTATTTCATACATTTCCATTATTCTATTACAATCTATTTATTTATTTTTTTTTAATTTTGGAAACTAGTCTTATTAAAATCAAGTGAAAATATTGTTACAAATGCAATAAATTTAATGTTTTAATTACTCAGGATAAAAATTATTAAGAAGGATTACAGTTAATATTTTCTTTACGTAATATCGATTATGATTAAAATGCTTGTAGTGTTTTCCGCACTTTTATTCCGCACACGAACTAAGTTTCGTGTGTTTCAAAACATTAATTTAGAGCTTTTGCGCTGGGATGCACATCAATGTTACGAAATTACATTCGTGTACTAAAATTTCATTAATTTTTTATACTTCTAAAAATACAATTAAATAAAGTGTATTGCCCGGCGCATCCACAATTTAAATATAAACTAAATTATAACATTTTTTTTTATAAATAAGTACAATTATATAATAATATCAGGTATTTGCAAGTCGTTAACAAGTATACATGTATAGATATTAGAATAATAATAAAGGCAGGTGAAAATTTTCGTTCAAAATATTACATGGGTACAGAAACTTTCCTAATGAATGTGATATTGAACGTGAATTACAACAAGCCGTATTCATGTATTCCATAGACGCAAATGATAGAAGAAGCATTAATTTGAAAATTTCCGCGCGAGAAATAGTTTTGTCGTTACATATTAAATACGGTCTCGCCTTTCGCTAAACTTTTTAATTGCGAAACTTGCATGTTGGAAGTTCTGAAATATGCTCGCAAATTTCTTTTTAACATTGCCCATTTTTTATGTGTGTGTGTACGTTTTGCAGAAGAAACTGAGTGAGAATGGACACATATATTCGGCTAAATATAGCGGATGGTATTGTGTGTCGGACGAGACTTTTTTAGTGGAGACACAATTAAATGAAGTGGTTTCAAAGGACGGCCGGAAAGTGAGAGTCTCGGCTGAGAGTGGTCATCCGGTCGAGTGGACGGAGGAGGAGAATTATATGTTCAGATTGAGCGGGATGCACGGTGATCTGTTACATTGGCTGAAGGATGGTAAAGTTTAAATCCGGAGGGTAAATGTAGGAACGGATGAGAGGTTACATTATTAATGTTGCAGAGAGCGTGGTGAAGCCGAAGAAGTTCCATAAAATCCTAATGGACATGCTGGAGGAGGGTCTGCCAGATGTTTCAGTGTCTCGGCCATCTAGCAGAGTGCATTGGGGCATTAGAGTACCCGGCGACGACGCGCAGAGTATTTACGTCTGGTTGGACGCCTTAGTTAATTACCTGACGGCTTCCGGTTATCCCGACAAACGGTACAAGGACTTCTGGCCCGCAGATCTACACGTCATCGGCAAGGATATCCTCAAGTAATTGCTATTTATTACATCGCTTACATCGATTCAATTTACATAATTGAATATTTTAATCCAGATTTCACGGCATATATTGGCCAGCGTTTTTGATGGCAGCCAACATGGATCCACCGCGATCTATCCTATGCCATTCCCATTGGACGGTCGAGGGCGAAAAAATGTCCAAATCCAAGCACAACGTCGTTTGCCCTTTCGAAAGGAGCGAACTCTACACCACCGATGGACTGAGGTACTTCCTGTTGCGCGAAGGCGTAGCTCACAGCGATGGTAGTACGTGATCGAAAACCTCAAACGGATGATCCCAGCTTATTTTTCCTTCTTTTCTTTTTCGTCCGCCACAGATTATAGTGATACCAAAGTGTTGCGCATCCTGAATTCCGAATTGGCCGATACCCTTGGTAATCTCTTAAGCCGATGCACCGGAGGATCCTTGAATCCGCAACAGACGTTTCCTGCAATCGAAACAGCTGCTTTTGATACCATAGCCTCTTTGGATGTTACGAAGAATCTTCTCCACGCCATTGAAACGCTACCAGGTGACTGATCGAATCTTCCGGTTTTGCAATAATCCAATTTCGAATTAAATTGCAATTTCCGGTATTCTTTTAAAACTTCTTTTATGACTAAAGCTTACAGCTATACACATTCATTTCAATTAAGCTTTCTTAATGCAATTTCTGCTTTCTCATCTTGTAATGTCTTTACGTTATTTAAAAGCAATTTCATAAATAGTAATAATTTTAACAAATCTAATCAGTTCAAATAAAATGATTAGTTGTTTAACTAATATTGTTGAAGAAAAAATTTTTCTATGGGATATTTTCAAATGAAATTAAATAATGTAATTGGAAACCGTGGCTTCGCTCCAAATGGATGTACGATAATTGCTTTGGGCTATTGGCGTATTGTGAATTGTTTTTTTTCTCTCTCTGTATTCATTTGATGATTGAAATGAAACGTGGGAGTAGTATCACGTGTAGCTTTCATTAATGGAACGAAACAAACACGAAAATAAAATGAAAATAATCTCTTCCTCAGAAATCTGCTACGAGAATTACTCGAGCTACGCTTTCCACAAGGTTGCTGACGCAACCATAAAGACTCTTCACACAGCTAATTTGTTCTTCGAGACTTTGAAGCCGTGGGAATTGAAGCGCGATGCTTCGACCTTACCTCAGCTGGACGTGGTGCTTCATCTCGTGATGGAATGTCTTCGAGTGAGCGGTATCGTATTGTCGCCGATGGTACCAAACATCTCTGAAACTCTTCTCAATAAAATGAATGTACCAGAGGTAAAAAGGACGTGGGCTTCAACGACGCAATTATCTTGGAAGGACGAGGCTTTCCAATCGAATCCTTTGGCTTTAGACAAGACGATCCTCTTCAGGCGAATCTTATTGGAGAAGAGCGAGGATAAGAAAGTTAGAGCTAAGAAGTAGATTTCGGTTTAGTAAATAAATGAGGTTGTTTGTTTTTCTCGAACTTTATTGCGTTTATTTACGTTTTTTTTTTTGTTCACCCTATTTACATATATAACTTTACATTGATTCTTTATTTATTTATATTTTTTTTTTTAAAGGAGGGTATAAAACATTTTCACCGTGCTTCGCTCCGATTTTAAATATTTATTCTCTCTCTCTCCGAGTTTCAAGTAAATAAAGGTTATTTCAAGGGAGGACGAAGAGTTTCTGTGGTTTGCTCAGATCCCACACTGCGGTTTTTCGTCCAATAAATTCGTTAGACCGCCAACCTTCGTCCACCCCAGAAAAACTATACAAACCCCTTTCACACTTTCATCCCCACATACAACCCCTCCCTATTTCTCACTCACTGTATATAATATATATATTATCTATACTTGTATGTATATATTTATACTGAAATTTGCTTTTAAATCTTATTACATTCTCTTTGTATGTACACAGCAAACATTAAGACATCTTCAATGAGACAGATATGTAAACATGATTGTTTCGGAAAAAATAAATAAATAAACGATATTTTAATTACACGAACCCTGTGTGCTTTGCTTCGACTCCCTCGTTATGACACGCTATTTACACTGAAATGAGTTTGTTTTTTTTTTATTACTATCACAGAATAAGAAGCGGAGAAAAGATATTCACGTACTAAATATTGCTTCAACTTTGGCGCAACGTACAGTCAGTGTGCACTGTACATTCAGAAGCCTAAATTATACAAATTAATGAATGAGCATTCATCACCATTCCAAATTACTTGGATATTGGTACATTATGAATTGATGAGATCATATGAATTATAATACAAGTATATCTTACAAAAATTATATAAACAACAAGAAAATACATTGTTTTACGTGAATAATAATTAAAATTAAAAAGAAAAACAATTGTTACAAATTTCTACGTATTTACATCAAGTAACATGCATTTACACTGGACAACATTAGTTTTTTTTATATAATAATTTAAAAAAAAAATCACAATAAAATATCTCTTATTCATTAAGTCAATAAATACTCACTATATATTTTTTGAATACGTAATTTCTCTTAACCTAAATAACTTCATTATATGTATGTATATATTTATAAATCGATTTATTTCTCTTATGAAAGATAAACATTTTGGGTAGCATTTAATAGCTATGGAACATTATTTATCTTCTGTTTACTGTTTGTATTTTACTTTGGAAATCGTGTAATTTGCGGCTTTATGTAGTAAAATAACATCGTTTGCTTTAGTTAACTATACGATTAGAAAGTTCTTTAAATTAAGCAGAAGTGTATTTATATTACAATTATTTGAAAATGATTGCGGACTTTATGCTTGAATGAACTTGGTACAAATTGGAAAACAAGCCGTTATTAGTCTTTTGGCGAGATTTGTGCCGAGTTCGATTGTTCGTAAAAGACAAATAAAAACAGGTCGCAAAACTGTTTCATTTGAAAGCCCGGCCTCCATCAACAAATATTTGCTTTTCACGTGGATCAAATGAAAAGCTTTATTCAACCATCGATTCGAGCTGCCTTTCAGACATAAATACACATTTTAGATAGTTGTGACATTCCCTTTACTCTAATTGCAAATTTGATTCGTTAATACTGATGTTGAATGTTGAAATTGTAGATCCATAGCTATTAAAATTTTTTGGTACAATCGAATTGAAAAAGTGAAAAATGCTGTGGTCTTAAAGCTACGAAACCATTGGAATTAAGATAATCTGAAATTGTCATCATTAGCGGGGGGTGGCGGGATGTACGGAAAAGAAGTAGGTAAGTGTTTCTTGCAGAGAAACGAAGCATCCATTTGAATCCATCGCAAAATAAAACGCGTCTCGAATATCAAACACATTAAGTACATCTCCATCTTCGCATCCCCAAGAGGAGAGAAAATATCAACGAGTAACTCGACACCTTCAACTAAGTAAGACTAAATAAATAAATGACAACTCAGAAATGAATAGAAAACAGAAATACGCACAGCCTTGATTCTTTTCTTGTTATATGTTAAGTGGAACGAGAAAGAATTGGTATCAGGTTCATCATCATCTTAAACCATGGTGTCCCTGTAATCGTTTTCATGTCATACGATGTCCTCGGAGATGTCCTTCTCCGAAGAGTTGACGCGTGTCTGCCGGACGGACTCGGTGCTCAGATGCTCGCTGGAGAACTCTCCGAAGGAGCCGTTTCGTCTTGCGTTCACTATGACCGTCTTCGTGCCGTAATCAGTGATGAATTTGTCGTTGGTGTTGAGGGATACCGATTGGTAACCGCACTTGCAGCAGTCGGGATAGTGGGTGGTGAGGATGCGTTTGAAGGCTTCGCGGAATTCCGTGTTGAAGATGGAGTAGATGATCGGGTTGAAAGCGGAATTCGAGTAACCCAACCAGGTCAAGATCTTGAAAGTTATATCGGGGATGCAGGTCTTGCAGAACGCAGCGACGATGTTGATGCAGAAGAACGGCACCCAGCAGATCAGAAACACACCCATGATGATGCCCACTGTTATTGCGGCTTTGTGATCGCTCACGTGGTAAGGAGAGCTGTGATGGTTGTGCATATGGATGTGCAGCGCCTTATTCTTAGCCTGTTTCATGCTTTTCTTCTTGTTAATAGTCCCTTCCGGAAGATCTATGGGTCTGGTGATGGCCCTAATATTCTTCACGTGCTTCTGAGCGTAGCAGTACAAACGACAGTATATACCTTAAATCACACAATAAACAGATTTAATTTAATTATTAACATCAGTTTGTAGAATTTACCGATCATAACGATGCAAGGGACATAAAACGAAATGCAGCTGGAAACCACAGCGTACGTCGGAGTCAAATCCAAAGCACACGTCGGGTAGTTCTGGCCACCGGAAGAGACCACGAAAGGCTGCGGCGGACGATGCAATCCCAAAGAGATCGGAACGAAGGAAATTAAAGCGGCCAGCAACCAGATCGTAGCTATCGACCCAACAGCTACTCTCCTCGTAACCCATCGACCGTATCTGCAAAAGAAATATTTAAAAAAAAACACAACATTTTAAAGTAAATTATTCAACACTTAAATCTTCGAAGCGGGACATCTTTGATGCTCGAGATAATTTGAAAAGTTCGTTGTTAATTTATAGTCCCAGACTTTGCGACAATAATTACAGTTCAGAAAGCACTAAAACGTAAGTTTTTCAACCCTCTTCCACGTTTTTTTTTTTTTAATGTAAGTAATTGCATTTTATTATGCAAAATACGCAGCGCCGCCAATTTTACGTTGCCTTTTATCGATAATAAAGTCCTGCCCTGTAAAACTTCTGCGAATAAGTGATGTTATGACATCGTTTAACGTGCTTCGTTGCTCGAGGTACATCGATCATGAAACAATTTAATAATACGAATAAACACGAACGTCTGCATCTTATTACAAGTAATTTGCAAGTGATTTAACAGAATTATGTCTATTATATCTATTAAATCGATCTAAACTAATTTAAACTTGTTATTTGTTAACTTTTGATGGAACTGTGGGAAATGGAGTAGAGTCATAATTAAATAGATGCGATGTTATTTATCAAAGTAAGTTTTAGTTGGCCTGAAGCTCTCTAGTGAAATTGAAGAAATGTTATAATATACAAAGCAAAACATCCACTCAGACACTGCATCATTTCCCGAAACTTTCCGTTACGTAATATGCATGCATACGAAATGTAAGTGCATCCGACTGTTCCGTTCATACACGAGTTCCCCGAGGTGTGCTCAGCTGTTGAGGTAAATAAATTACAAAGTTAGCAAATGACGAAGTTTTCCACAAAAAAAATAATTGAAAACATATCGGCGCAGGTTTGGATGCCTGCAGCGGATGATGATGTTTCCATGGAAATTGCAAATACAATCCATCAACATCCATACGCTGCGACTCTCCAGTTAATTAGAGGCAATTATACAATTAATTAATATGCCTAATGAGATATCGCGATGGGATCTCTGCTCTGCGAAACCTAGGTTACGCGCAGGCTTTATCTATTCCTTTCCCCCCAACCCACGCACGTTTCCATTTGTACTTTGAGATTTATTGTCGCGTCTCATTTACAAGACCTAAATTATTACATCTTCACCGTTATTTCTTTCTTCTTACAATCACCTACTACTATCTTTTCTATTATTATTCTATTCCAAAGATTTCCATAATCCATAATTCAGTTTCCACCTTCATATTTCAATGGTACTCAAACACGTCAGCTCAGAAGTAAACCGAGTTATTATCACAGATAATCAATCATATTTTACAATAATGATAATAATATTATTCGCACTTTTTAATTAATTTATCAAATTTATCAATGAAACCATATATTATACTAATTAGTTAGATATAGTTATGTGAAGAGAATCCTTTGTCTCTAATGAGTGTGAAAATATTAATTGATATTTGATAGAAATTCTACGTCTTTTTAATTATACAAATATTGGTAAAATCTTTGGACAATTAAGTAATTCCATAGTTTCATAATACTTTTGGTATACTTATTCCAACTACTTGAGTAAATAAATATAATTTCTTAATAAGATTTTAGAAAAATTAAAAAAAAAATAGCAAAAATTGTTGGTCAAAGTAAAATATTCTATTTCCATAATCCAAAATTCAGTTTCCACTTTCATATTTCAATGGTACTCAAACACGTCAGCTCAGAAGTAAACCGAGTTATTATCACAGATAATCGATCATATTTTACAATAATGATAATAATATTATTCGCAATTTTTAATTAATTTATCAAATTTATCAATGAAACCATATATTATACTAAATAGTTAGATATAGTTACGTGAAGAAAATCCTTTGTTTCTAATGAGTATGAAAATATTAATTGATATTTGATAGAAATTCTACGTCTTTTTAATTATACAAATATTGGTAAAATCTTTGGACAATTAAGTAATTCCATAGTTCCATAATACTTTTGGTATACTTATTCCAACTACTTGAGTAAATAAATATAATTTCTTAATAAGATTTTAGAAAAATTAAAAAAAAAAATAGCAAAAATTGTTGGTCAAAGTAAAATATTCTATTTCCATAATCCATAATTCAGTTTCCACCTTCATATTTCAATGGTATTCAAACACGTCAGCTCAAAAGTAAACCCAGTTATTATCACAGATAATCGATCATATTTTACAATAATGATAATAATATTATTCGCACTATTTAATTAATTTATCAAATTTATCAATGAAACCATATATTATACTAATAGTTAGATAGAGTTATGTGAAGAGAATCCTTTGTCTCTAATGAGTGTGAAAATATTAATTGATATTTGATAGAAATTCTACGTCTTTTTAATTATACAAATATTGGTAAAATCTTTGGACAATTAAGTAATTCCATAGTTTCATAATACTTTTGGTATACTTATTCCAACTACTTGAGTAAATAAATAAAATTTCTTAATAAGATTTTAGAAAAATTAAAAAAAAAATTAGCAAAAATTGTTGGTCAAAGTAAAATATTCTATTTCCATAATCCATAATTCAGTTTCCACCTTCATATTTCAATGGTACTCAAACACGTCAGCTCAGAAGTAAACCCAGTTATTATCACAGATAATCGATCATATTTTACAATATTGATAATAATATTATTCGCACTATTTAATTAATTTATCAAATTTATCAATGAAACCATATATTATACTAATTAGTTAGGTAGAGTTATGTGAACATTATTCAAATATTGGTAAAATATTTGGATAATTTGATATTATTAAGTAGTTTCATAATACTTTTGATATACTTATTCCAACTATTTGAGTAAATAGATTATTGAATAGTGAAGAACATCAATAAATATAATTTCTTAATAAGATTCTAAAAAAATTAGCAAAAATTATTGGTCAAAGTAAAATATTCTATTGGTTTGTGCAAATTGAATGTGATTTCTATTTGCACTCGGATCCGCATTGGGGGATGCTGGTGTCTATGTGTGTGTAAGTATTTTTTTCTCCTATCTCTTCTCGTCGAAGTAAAAGCGTAGCAAATTCACTGGATCGGATGAAATTTCCATTTCAAAGGAATCGACGAGAGGTGCCTTTATACATCCGGAATATATACACACGTTGGTACACACACACACACACACAGTCACATGCATGAAACACATGCAAACATCGGAAGAGGCCGTATCTAAAAAGAGTGGCGCGAAAAATAATATTTTTTTATTCAGGTGCAAATGCAGAAGGCGCGCGTAAATCGAACCCCGAATAACAATATTGATATGCCAGATAACGACAGAAAACCAATATCTATCCGATCTATTTATCCATTCAGAAATCATTCCCTCTCCGAATTTGCAATTTCGAGAGATCGAGATGAGTTTCACTAGTGAAACATCAAAGAAAAGAAACAAGGGATGAATTGATTTTTAAGAAGCAATCATTGCAAGAATATACGTAAGAAATTTTCTAATTTAATGGTAAAATAAACATTAAAGTCTTCAAATATTTATGAAATAATTAAATATTTAAATTGATTCATCTCATTTTGTAATTCAATTGAATTATTTTCTTATTCATTTTAAACATGGATAAAAATTACCATACGTTTATATACAAAATTATGAATCATTTTTCCGTTGGTTTATATAGAATTAATTAAATTATTAATAATAATAATATTTATTGTTATGATTATAAAATTACACAAATAATTTCAGAAAAAAAAAAAACGTATGCACATAAATCAATGCAATTTAGTAATTATGCAATGCAATTTATTAATTAATTTCAATTACATAATTGAATATAAATGTTTGTTGATTTTAATCGAAACAAGATTAATGTATTTGTAATATATAAATTGAATGTAATTGAAATTATCGTTTCGCTTTTATAATTGCTATACAAATGTGAACGTGAATCGAATGAATGTTGGTAAGAGCAGCAGAAATCGATTCATCTAACTGCAGTTTGGAGATCGGAAATGCTTTAGATTGAAAACAGATGGAAGATAGTTTATTTTATTTCAATATTTTTTTTTCTTTTGGAGGGTGTTTTCATTAGGTCTGGGTAGGTAAATTATATGGTGAATCGATTCCTGCAGTCGGGGAGGCAAGTTAAATTGCTTTAAATTTTCCAACTGAAAGGATTCCACTGTTTCTCAATATTATTCCAGAAACCGGAGGCATAACGTATTTCAAAACCAATTTTTTTTCTTCTATTTTCATTCTCATCTCCCCTTACGCTCTTTCATATATTTCTCTGAATCCACGATTGCAAAATATCCACCCAATTAGGTATACCGAAATAATAGTGATTTATACTATGACTTTTATTCTCTCATCTTCGAAGTGAATTCCGAATTTCCATTTCAGATATTTAAAATTGTAATAATGCTTCGACGATTAAATGTAGATTGCATATTAAGACAAAGATGTTGAGCTGTAATCGATTTAGAACTTAATGATGTTTACTGGAATGAGCGTGAACGCTTGTAATTTGATTTTATTGTAATTTGAATGATGGGATTTCTATTGATATATAGAGGATTGGAACTCTCACCTGAGAGGGTCCTTGATGTGGATGTACCTGTCCAGGGAGATGGCGCACAGATTGAGGATGCTGGCAGTCGAGCACATCACGTCGAATGCCACCCAGGTGTCGCAGAATTGCGCCCCGAAGATCCAGTAGCCGAGAAGATCGTTGACTCCGGCGAACGTCATCACCAGGGATGCGACGAAGAGGTCAGCGATTGCCAAGGAGGCTAGGAATAGGTTTCCTATCCTGCGGAGACCTCTGTCAGTATAGATGGCAACGCACACCAGGATGTTACCAGCGACCGAAAGGAATATCAACACAGAGAGAAAAATTCCTGTAATTAAAAAAAGACAAAAGTCTCAATATTTATTGAATCATACTAAATTATGTATATAAGAATTAGTTTAAGTTTTTATTCAACTTTGTTAAAGTATTACATGAAAATTAATGTCTGCATAATTTTCATTAATTTAAGTATTAATACTAAAAGTTACCAAGCGTGCTTATTCAGAAATACTATAAAATGTGAAAACATTGCTTCATTCCTCCTTCTTCAACTTTGACAGGTTATTGCGTAGAAACTGTAATAGTTACAAATCTAGCAGTAAGCCCATATTAAAGCCTATAGTTTTAAGATTAATTATAATATTCATAATTATAATTAGCATGCGTTGCTTTAGAGTAATAAGATAAATTGTAAGAGTTTATTTCAATTTTGGACAGCTTTCTATAGGATTATAGTAATATGTAGAAATCAAGCTTGTGTATGTGTACTTGCTATTAATGAATGAATGTCGTTTGAGAGGATCAAGTTGTTGACCAAATATTGGGATAAGCTGTGTACTAACTAACACCAACCCAGAATGTACTAACATGACGATACATGGGTATTAAGCGGTTCAATACGGAGCGTTTGATTGGATGGCAATTAGGCGAATTAAGTAGTTCCCAGTAATTGAGATCGCAATACAGACATTAATAACACCCTAAATGGCTAACAACCGGAGCGACGTGTAACTCCATTAACTACGATAAATTCAATAGGGAAAAAGCAAAAAAAAACTTAAGCACGTTTAATATGCGGTCTTAATTAACTAAATCAATATTAATCCCTCAGTGGCGTTTATTAAATTAACATATAAATTGCTTGTTTTTCGTGAACCATCCCCTATTTTCTTTTTATATAGATAATAATTTTTTTTCTGCGTAATTTTCCCCCCATTTGCCGACCCTCGGTTTCGATCCACGCAAACCTTTGGTTATAATTAAAAAGTTTGATTGCCATACGCACACAGCGAACATGTAACAATATGATTCCTTCAATTGCATTCGTGATTTTAATTACGTCGTTTGCTTTTTCTAGTGGCGGATTTAGCACTTGTGGGGTCTCAGGCGTGATTCAATTACGTAGTCTTGAATTGTAATTAAAATATCTTTTCTAGTTTCATTTTTGAACTCGAATTACAGTCAAAAGGATTAAAGCACAGCAATACTTCCATATACATTTTTTGGATATATGAGAAGACATTGATTTTTTGATATTTTCTTATTTCATTATAGTACGGGAATTACAACCAAATGGATAAAAAACACAGCAATAAGTGAAATCTGCCAGTTTGGAGGGTAACTGGTTCATCTAATGATCATTTCTTAGGCGTGATTCAATTTTGTAGCTCTTATGTAATCTTGAATTGTAATCAAAATATCTATTCCAGTTTCATTTTTGAAGTCGAATTACAGTCAAAAGGATTAAAGCACAGCAATACTTGAACACACGTACATTCCCCGAATTTTCAACTTCCATATGCATCTTTTGGATCTATGAGAAGACTTTGATTTTTTGATATTTTCTTATTTCATTATAGTACGGAAATTACAGCCAAATGGATAAAAACCACAGCAATAAGTGAAATCTGCCAGTTTGGAGGGTAATTGGTTCATCTAATGATCATTTCTTAGGCGTGATTCAATTTTGTAGCTCTTATGTAGTCTTTAATTGTAATTAAAATATCTATTCTAGTTTCATTTTTGAAGTCGAATTACATTCATAAGGATTAAAGCACAGCAATACTTGAATACACGTACATTCCCCGAATTTTCAACTTCCATATGCATCTTTTGGATCTATGAGAAGACATTGATTTTTTGATATTTTCTTATTTCATTATAGTACGGGAATTACAGCCAAATGGATAAAACCTACAGCAATAAGTGAAATCTTCCAGTTTGGAGGGTAACTGGTTCATCTAATGATCATTTCTTAGGCGTGATTCAATTTTGTTGCTCTTATGTAGTCTTGAATTTTAATTAAAATATCTATTCTAGTTTCATTGTTGAAGTTGAATTACAGTCAAAAGGATTAAAGAACAGCAATACTTGAATACACGTACATTCCCCGAATTTTCAACTTCCATATGCATCTTTTGGATCTATTAGAAGACATTGCTTTTTGATATTTTCTTATTTCCTTATTGTACGGGAATTACAACCAAATGGATAAAAACCACAGCAATAAGTGAAATCTGCCAGTTTGGAGGGTATCTGGTTAATCTAATGATCATTCCTTAGGCGTGATTCAATTTTGTAGCTCTTATGTAGTCTTGAATTGTAATTAAAATATCTATTCTAGTTTCATTTTTGAAGTCGAATTACAGTCAAAAGGATTAAAGCACAGCAATACTTGAATACACGTACATTCCCCGAATTTTCAACTTCCATATGCATCTTTTGGATCTATAGAAGACGTTGCTTTTTTAACATTTTCTTATTTCATTATAGTACGGGAATTACAGCCAAATGGATAAAAACCACAGCAATAAGTGAAATCTGCCAGTTTGGAGGGTAACTGGTTCATCTAATGATCATTTCGAAGCCATATTTCTCCTAGAAATCTTCCTGGCTTGGATCCCAGATGCGCATTAAAAGCCCGTTCCGAACACACGAGAAATTGGATAGCGAAAGATTTATGTACTTGTTACACTTACCTACTAGGAGGATCGACATCATTGTCACTGGATTCGGGTTTTCCGCTTCGCTTCCATTTTCGGCTATGGCCACGGTGTCGTTTACAGAGATCTGGAAAATAAAATGGAATTCATGACATACTAAATTTCCGCTAAAGAAACAAAAAAAAATAGTAACATTTTCCATCCTGTTTCGCATTCAATTGTTTTATGCAAATCGTCTATTGTTATGTTTGACAAAAACATGGACCAACTACAACGCGATAAAAAACAAATTTATGTTAATAAAAGAAAATCAAATAATACTGAAACCATAATTCTCAATTCTTTGTTAATTAACAAAACTATTATGAATTTGTTGGATACGAAATAAATCATAAAATGCAATGAGCGTAAAACCAATTTATTTTTCAAATTTGTTCACAATATGGAAAATATTGGTTTTCAGTGATGATACAATTTATTATATAAAAAATTTGTTAATAAAACTAATTTATAAATGTTTCCTGTTTCAAAAGTTTGAATAAAAACATTTTTATTCTAATCAAAAAGTCAATTGAATTGTGTAAATATACGCTTTTAGAATCAAAGACTTAAAAAAAAAGAGAGAAACAATTAATCTTGTAGCAGATTTCTGGTCGTGAATGCTATCAAAAGTGTGGATCGATACCGGCAGACTTGTTAAAATTACGTAATGTCGGAGAAGAAACTGTTAATTGCGTTCGGTGATGTAGATGTGACATTGGAATAGATTCGTAGGGCGCAGGATAATCGGGTTACCGAATTTACTATGCAGATAATGAGATTTTGATCTACAATCATTGCTTTTCCTTGCACAAACTGCCGGAAATAATCCACTTAAACCATCCTGCTGCTTACTTAGAATGCGGATATTACAAAATCGAAGGCGAATGTTGCATTAATAATAGAATCTCGTTGATAATAACAATATTTATAATTATAAAACAAAATATTTAGTATATGCTTATACATTTATAGATTGAGTAAATGGATTTTGAATGAGGATAAGAAGAGTTGTGAAGTAGTTGCAAACTTCTTTGTAACAAGATTGAAATGTGCTGGGGATCCGTTCCGTTCCAGCCCACTTCGATTATAATCGATGACACGGAGAAAGAGAGTTTGCAGACTTTATAAATAATGCAGAGCATCGAAACACCGTAATTGCGGAAAGTTCCGACGCGAAGAAGAATTGTAACGGAATTATTGCCGAAACGAAATTTCCTGCTGAACAAGAACCTCGCAGGAAATTCCCACATAAATCCGCAAATAAATGCAAATGGGATCGGCCTGCCATGAAAACGGGATGGATAGATGGAAAGCGAGAGATGACTTCAGCGCTTGTACCAGATAACTTCGATTACCTCATCATCCGCATCGACATTCAGATGGATTACCTCTGGATTACCTCTCTGGTCGTCTCGTGAATATTTATGCGCATAAAGGGTTCGAATTCAGGTCTGAAGCGGAGGCGCTGATAAGTTCCAGACAATACGCAATTAATTCGTGCATAATGCGACCGCCAATTGAAACTACCCCTATTAAACTATACACAGTCCTTGTGTAATCTGCACGGAACCAACTACGATCATCATCATCATCTCCACCCCGAAATTGATTACAATTACGATCGCCAAATTGCACAATTAATTGCATTATTAACTGTCGGAATTCTGGATTATTGAAGCTTTTGATGTACCCTGAGAAACTACCACTTAACACTAAAACCGCAAATCCTTTTAGCTCTTAAAGCTAAAAAGAGTAAAATAAGAGAGAGTTGAATTTGTTTCTGTAAGCTTCTTTGCGTTGAAGTTCTTTACATCCGATTACGGTCATCGGACAAGCCGTGTTAATAAGAAGTTGCGAGATGCAAAGAAACAAAAGGGACAATGGTCGTCTCGATGGTATAATGACGAGGGTGACCGAAGTTTAAGTCGAAGTGGCCGTGCGGGAACTCTGTTTTTGGAAACTTTGCTATGTAAATACAATCATAAATTAAGTTGGAAGTTGAGTTTGTGCCATGTAATATATACACAAGCGCACATATAACGCGTATTATATAAGGTGAAACTTTTCGGTCGGACCTCGTCCGAAATCACTTAAGCTCATTACGCCCACTCGCGACAATTAAAACGATTTTCCGCCTCCAACCGTTATTTTCTATTGTTTAATTTCCTGTATTTCCATCCGTTAGTTAATATTAAACCCTTGTAGATTAACCTTTCGTGACTGCTCACCATTCCATTCATGAGCAAACAAATTAATATATACAATAAACCCCCTTTTCCCAATAAATTTAACTTACTTGTATAAAACATTTTTTTGTTTGTATTCTTTCATATTTAAATACATTTGATAAATATTATTATGGAATACTTTTTCGAATCAACTTTTAATTGTTAAAATACAAACTTATGTAATGGGAATTTACTTGTCAAATAAAGTGTCAAGTATATGAGACTTGTTCGAATACTTGAAAAAATAATCGATGATGAGACTTGATGTTCCGATTAATGGGAAGAGAAAATATGTGAAAATATTGCGCTGAAAGTTTTTCAGGAAGCACTGAAAAACGATTCTCTCGATACAGGAATTTTCCATCTACGGATTGGGCGAGATTATATGAAAAAAACTAAATAATAATGAAGAGGATTGTCGCGCTTTTTCCTTCCTTCCGCATTACGTGTGCATATCTACTTTTTAGTTTGTTCCACTTTTCTAAACGGAAATCGTCTCTTCTGTGGTCGTCCATTGTATTAACTAGAAAATTTCAATTTATATGCACATAAATACGGATTTGGATTTTCATACGAAATCCGGGCTAACTACAGACACGAACAAACGCAAATAGCAGAAGGATCATTTTCATAAGTGCTTTTTAAGTCTCCACACATAGACCACAGCCATGAGCATGAATAATAATAATAGTATTTTCCATCATCAATTTCAGTTTCGTTCTATGCATACATTAACACCAATCAACTAAAATATAACAAACATTATATATATTTGTTTAGAAATTTGCTTTACATAAACCTTATAAATTGTAGACTGTAAATCTTTCGACATGTAATCGATACTAGTGGTTTCAGACACTTTCATTTGTCCAAATAGTTTTCAATTTGGAATACAAATAATAATGTCTTAATAAAATAAAAGATTTTTCATATAAAAATGTCTTAAAAAGTGAAATTTTTACTGTTTTAACAACATTTTATTTAAAATATGATTGAAAATGTAGAAATAATTGAAAAGTCATTAATTGTATTTATTAATTAAAACAATCAAATCGAGTTCATAATCAACGAATCCAATTAATTTATGAATTATACTAATTTGAAAAGTACTAATAATTAATTAAAATCTGTCGTATTATTGTGAGCTTCGAATAATTATTAAAATACATTTATAATATCAAATTTTATGATTAACAATTTAACCTGTTTATTGTTTATTATTGTTCAACCGGAACATAATTAGCTTCAAAGCGTCCAAATGAATAATTATTAGCGTAGCTTTTTATGTTTTTAACTGTAATATTGTTGAATTATAACAATTGTTCTTCATTCAATTTTTAAAACTAATGAATTTTGGTTTTCTATTAGTTTATGATTATTTTATAATTACGTAAGATACAATATTTACATAATGTTAATTACTGATCTAATTTTGTCTAAATTTCATTAAACTTCCATCAAATATTGCTTTCCATGCATACGTATGTGTCTCGTTATTAATTAAAACTATAATTACAGAAATCCAAAACTGAAATTGGATATGAATGGATCGAAGTTTCGGGCTGAGTTACGAATCTGTATCATAATTAAACAATTATTCTTGGAAGGCAATTGTAAAGTTGGGTGGGAAATTACAATTTCCAGTGGCAAATCACAGTCTGGGAAATTCACTTGATAATAAACTTTCGGTTAATCCCACTTTACGTAAAATAAACTCATTATGTATGGAAAATAAAATATCGGAGGGTGAATAATTAAAAGTTCTGTTTCGTCGACGAAAATAAGTTTTCTGGGGGGGGTTGATTTACCATATTTAATATATTTAAAGTTTATAATCGGGATTAAGAAAATACGTAATAATATAGCTTATTTTAATTAAAGACATGATAGAGAGAGTGGGTTTTCTGCTGTCTTTCATCTTTGAGAGTGCGTGCAAAAGTGTATAAATATTATATGGCACATAAATTCCCAAAACGCCAGGGAAAGGCTCCTCCGAGCTCCAAGTGTTAATATACTTAAAGGATAATGGAATTAAGTCTGTTACGTCCACGTTGCGGTTCCTGCCTCGTTCATTTTCCGCCAGGTATTATCTGTCCCATCAAACATAATAACTCCTACAATTATTACTCTTCAGCAATCTCAAATAATTATAACTTCATACCTAGTTTTACTAGAAACACTGGTTAAGATGATTCGTTCTTCAATTACGGTTTAATAGCTTTAACATCATCATTAATCAAAATTATTACTAATTATATAATCAATTTATTTTGACAAATTTTATGAAATTTAAACTTTCAATTATGAAAAAATCGTTTTCAGAAATTGTTCAAAGTTCTAATCTAAACAAAACTTCTAACATCAAAGCATTTCCATCTCGCTGATAAACTAGATCACCTGATAAACTAAAAATTGTACGTAATCAATTTGAATGCTTGTAATTCTAAGATTGTGAGTTTTGAATAATGTAGATGTCAATATAAGGAATTAGAACTTATTTCGATGATCCTTGAAGAATTTGGTCCTTGAAGAAATAGCGTTTCCCGGATGCTACGATATCTATGAGTAAATGTTTTGTGTGATCCAATCCAATAAAGGTTTTATCTTCCGAGACCGTTTATCGTCTTGGCAAAGTAAATTCCCATTGGATTCTATTGTTGCATTGTGGGTTGCATTACACACGAACGTTATATAAAGAATGCCCTTGAGTTTACAATAAAAGTTTGATATAGTTCGAATTTAGTTAATTATTTCTAAAAAATTGAAGATGTAAAAGCATAAATGATGTGTGTTAATTGGGGCACATCTAAATAATTCAATATA